AGGTGGTGGTGGCCTCCTCCTGAGCCCTGCAGAAGACCTGCGGCTCCTCGGAGGGTAGGTGGCCTTCTGAACTGCTAGCTCGGCTACGGAAAAACCAGCTCGGACACTTCGGCAGTGGCTTTTCCGGGCAGGTGATGCGGGCTGTGGGCTCTCCAGGCACTGGAGAGGGAGGTGAGGAGAACCTCAACGGTCCTGCCGTGGGGAAAGGAGGTGAGGAGAACCTCAAAGGTCCTGCCGTGGGGAAAGACTCGGTAGCTCCTTCTGCAGAGCATGGGGGAAGATTTACTCACAAAAAAGGTTTGTCTTTTGTTACAGAAAAGTACCCCCCCATTGGTGGCACCTCTTCTCCCCTACCCTGCCCTTCAGGTAAGCAGCCCGGTGGGACGGCAAAGGTCCTGATGGCAGCAGGGACCAGCAGGGACCAGCAGGGACCAGCCTCCCGTCACCCCCCGAGAAGGCACTCAGCTTCCCCATTGCTCCTACGCGGTGAGCTGGGGTGGGGGGGTCTTAAAAAAATCCAAGTCCCACACCACCCGCGCTGTGAGCGGATTTGGGTGGGATGTCCCCACATCTCTTGGGAATTCTGTTTAGCATGGACAACAGGGACATGGAGACGGAGCTCCAGGTGTCACCTAGGGGGACTTTAACCCCTCTGGGCTATCTAGAGCCCATCCCTTGCCCTGCCGCCGCGTACCCCATCGAGCTGGCGTTGCTGCTCGTCGTGTGACAGAGCCCTCCCATCACCTGCTACCGATCCTCGAGCAGCCCAGGACAGTTTTAAATGAAAGCTCTCAAGATGTCACCGTCACAGGGGTGAGGGAACAGTTCCTCTGCTGGAGATGGTATTAATGACTTCACAGCTAAGAAGAGCATCGTCCTCCCGCCCGGCTCCCTGCCTCGGCTGTCTCAGTTGAGGAAAACAGAACCGATGGAGAACTTGCTAATGCGGGCACACACCGTTCTTTGATCTTACTAATGACATACTAAGTGTTGGAATTTGTATTAACCAGTCCAGTACTCAACACCACTTTGCGCTGGATGTGAACAAGAGAAGCGCTCTTACGGCTGCCAGCGCCGTCGTTAGCCGTGGTGACCCAATTAATGCGATGTGAAACCCGACAGCCCTGC